TTGTTTATAGAGTAAGTTTAACTGGGAAATTAATTTCAGTACATTATTATATAATCCACATTTCCACATAGTTGGAAGCATTACTATATTTTGTCTTGGGGATAAATCAACTTCTCAAAATTAGAAAGCAAGAGAATCTGGTACATATTTTATATAGTGTTCTTTACCCTAAAACAAAAACTTTTGGGTAAATAATAGTACCACTTCATATTTTGTGTAAATTCTTTTCACATACGTAATTTTTTTCTTCAAGTCTAAAGAAGCTTAAGTCAGGACAATCCATGGTACCTCTACTCTACATGAGATAGTCATCCTCAGAAAGTAAAGAATTTGCTGAAGGTCAGAGAGGTAATAACGAATAAAGTTGCATGTAGAAGCCAGGTTTTCAGATGTTTAGGCTATTTCTTTCTAATACCATGTTTTTAGTTATTGCTGTTTTACACAAAAAACTATGTCAATAATTATTATATTTTTAAACAACTTAATAATTCATCATTTGTGAAAGCTATTAATTAATTTTAGATCCATCCCCCTATAAGTAACAATGTAATTCAAACTAAGGGTTGGAATTTAGGTCAAATCATAAACTTATGAATTAGCAGAAAAATAGTTTAAATAGTTGCTATTATTAGAAGGTAAGGATTTTTAAGAATTTGAGACATATTTGACAGTCAATCAAAACATTGTTTAGCCTTAATTTATACTAGAAATATATCAATTCTGTGTTAAATATGTTCATTGAATTATTTCAGGAGAAATAAATTTGTAGATATAACATTAAGGAAAATTTTAATGATTAAAGAGAAAAACTTCAGTGAAATTCGTTCAGATTCTCTGTATACTTCTTTGGCAGTGAAAACTACAGAAGAAAATTTAGCTTTAAAATCTTGTCAGAAGAAGGGCCTGCAGCCCTTCATTTGGTGGTATTATGTAGACCTGTACATCACAGGGCCTGAGCTCACATTCTCTCTTCCTGAGAGATTAGCAGGACGCCACACAGCTTAGCCAAGCTTCTTATTAAACACAGTATTGTCCCAAGCACATTGCACAGTGAATTGTGTCAGGCAAATGTTGCTTAGGATTTGTTTTCAGCGATCTTATCCTTGCTTTTAATATTTGTTTTTTGATTTATCTACTTAGTGTCCATTGTGAATTTTTGTTCTTAAATTGTAGACTTAAAAAAATACTTTCTGCATATTTTTTCTTACAGTATCTGACAGCCATTCTGTTTCTTCATCAAAAGTTAGTTTAATCTGGAAAATGACAGAGTTTATTTAAATACGTTGGGTTTTTAGATCAAACATTCTCCTGCATGTTGGTTTAGGAGTAGAGTTTTACTTACCTTACTTAGCCTGAGGAAAATTAATTTTCAGTTATGGTGTTCAGAAGCAGGATTCTCCATAGCTCACTCCTTACTTTGTGTGAAGGACTTCAGCATATGTAATTCCATAAATTACATCATGTGTCTTTACATATCTTTAGCTTGAACTCTGCTAGTTTAAGTGAATCATTCCTAGAATGGGTTGTCTCTTCCTTCTGTGTCCTTTTCTTTGTGACACTTTCCTTAAGAGTATTTTCCTTAGCATGTAATACCACGTCCCACACTAAGCATTGACTCCCTTCAAGGGTAGCTGAAAGAAAGACTTGGGCACTGAAGGCTATGCATGGTTTCTCATGGAAAATCAGATGGACTCTCAGTCAGAATCAACTTTCTTGAAATTTACAATTTATCTACTTTCTAGTATATTAGGAGCAGTGGATTAAATAGCAGAGGTAAAAATTCTCCAGAACAGTGAGTGTATCGTTACGGAGTATATAGTAGGGTTTTGGGGTAACGTTAGAAGGGGTAATAGAATAGGACACTTATTCATATCCTACTTCATAAATAATGCATTGTGAGAAGAGTGTGGTAAGTTTTAGTTTTTATATGCCCTAGATTTATTTTTTTCACTCCTAGTGAGTCTGGTTATAATAAAATATAAAAACTAAATAGTGCAGCTTAAGGTTTATGTAGGTCCCCTCTATCCTCTGGCTTTACCACTTTGCATAGTGAATTTAAGATGCACTTAAAACTTCAGCTTAAGTTTTAATGTCAGAAATATATTGTTTTAGACTTTGTGATTTAAAATGTTGTTTACAAAGAGCATAATTAAAATGGCTTTTTCTCTTAATTTGGGTACTAAAATATGCTAATTTCTTTAAAAAATTTTTAATTTGAATATCTTAAGAAATTTCTCTCTTTTCTTCCTTTCTCTTCCTCCCTCTCTCTCCCTCCCCCTCCCATCCAGGTTCGAATGGCTTTAAAAAAGGCTGAAAAAGAATTTGAACTCAGAAGCAGCTGGTCTGTTCCAGATGCACTTCAAAAATGGCTTCAGTTGACACATGAAGTAGAAGTACAGTACTACAATATTAAAAGACAGAATGCCGAAATGCAATTAGCTATTGCTAAGGATGAGGTACTCTATTATATTTCAAAACTTATTAAATTTCTAGAAGGATTAACCAGTTGAATACAGAGATATGAATACATTTTTATTATTGCAGATTCTTTTCTTGAACTGGAACTTATTGCATTAATTGACTCTCATAATCATAGGCTATAAAGTAGAATTGCTTTCTTTAAAGAGGTGTATACCTTTCAGAATGACCTTAGTGTCATTTAAAAATCATCCCTATTATCATTATAAATGTTTTATACAGAGCTTTTCTCCTCTAGGTTGCTGCTTCATATCTGATTCAGGTCAGTAGTTACTAGAAATTAATGTCTGACTTTATTAAATTGTGTGAAATACGATTAAGTATTAATCTGATATGTAGCACACACACAAAAAAGAGTTCAGTTCACTCACTAACACCTCTATTGTAGTAGGATATAATGTTATTTGTTAGTTTTAATAGAAAATTCAGGTCTTTCTGAATTACAGAAATAAGAGACAAATTCTCCAGAACAGAGTTTTTAATTATATCGTTTAAGTTGGGAAAGCATGTTTGTTTTTTCCCTCATCTATTTTCTTTTTTGGAAAATAGGGCTATATGTTATTGACTAATAATTTTTCACTGGTTTTACAATTATTAATATTTTTAAAACAAAATAAACTTCATTAATATATGTATGTTTTCCCCAAGCCTAGCCTTATTTTTCTCTCCTTTGGTTTCTAGGCAGAGAAAATTAAAAAGAAGAGAAGCACAGTCTTCGGGACTCTGCATGTTGCACACAGCTCCTCCCTAGATGAGGTAGACCACAAAATTCTGGAAGCAAAGTAAGAATGTTATTTTAGTTGTTTATTTTCACTGTGCTGAAATATGTAATTTATGGACAGTCTATATTTTAATTTGATCATGTATAATCACATAATTCATACTAATTCTAAGAGTGTGTAATTTCTTCTTGAAATTAGCTAATTGCCATGTTCTATTCATGTAGTTATCTTTTTTCAGTGCCATATTAAGGACTATTTGAAATAACAAATAATTCCTATGTTGTCTTTTCCAGGAAAGCTCTCTCCGAGCTGACAACTTGTTTACGAGAACGACTATTTCGCTGGCAACAGATTGAGAAGATCTGTGGCTTCCAGATAGCCCATAACTCGGGGCTCCCCAGCCTGACCTCTTCCCTTTATTCCGACCACAGCTGGGTGGTGATGCCCAGAGTCTCCATTCCACCCTATCCAATCGCTGGAGGAGTTGACGACTTAGATGAAGATACACCTCCCATAGTGTCACAGTTTCCTGGTAAGTGATGAGTTCAAAAGAGAATTGGGATAACTTTAAGGTAACTTTACACCACGCCGTTTATGGAGCATTTACTTTGAAGGCTGTGATAAAACATCTTGTACATTCTTTGTTTTCTCTTTTTGTTGTTAATTTGTGTTTACTGTTTCAGAATAATGTCTGAGGTGTGTGTGTGTGTGTGTGTGTGTGTGTGTGTGTTTGTGTGTGTGTGTTACATCATACATGCTAAATCACTTTTATGAATGAAGGGCTGAGCTTTGAGGAAAAACATTCTTTCAAAAAGCAGTGTAATCTATAGTACAAAGTAAAATTTAGGCAAGCTCTAATCCTGTGTTCCAGTCCTAGCTGTGCCACTAACTAACCAACTGTGTGACTTTCAGCCAGCCTGTGATTTTTTTTAAATTGAGTTGACATTCTCGGTAGACATGTTTTTTTAATATTTTGTTTTGCTTTTTCAATTCTGTGCTTTTACTGAAAGAGTATTGACTCATAAAGCACTGAATCAATTTACCTTTATATAAAATTAAACTGTGTTATGTCTGTGTTTGGAAAATTTTGTAGATGTTTTTGTTGCTAGAAAATGTACAATTCCTTTGTTATGTTCTATTCTTTGAAAATTTTTACATGGTAAAGAATACATTTTGGCAGGAAAGTGAAATTTAAATATTTTAGATTGTATTAACAAATTTCAGAATTTATTAATAAGTATTTGGACTTTTTGCAAAGTTATAGAGAGTTTGAATTTAAGATGGTGTATTTTATGATTTAGAAATCATTATCCTTATTATTGCCTACCGGCTTCATTTTTCCCAACCTTTCTGATCTTTATGAAAACAGTGTAGATAGAACAGGAGTCCAAAGAATGGAGAGCAGAAGTTATTTATTGATTGAAGACTTACATGGAAATTTTAGTCTTTGAGATAAATCATGATATGTAAGCATTTCCAGTTTGAATTTTTCTATTCAATTATAGCTTTCCTGATGTTATGATTTAGAAAGGGTTCTAATTTTTAAAACAATTTTATGAAAGAAATCTCGTAAATTTTCAAATAAATAGTGATTTTGTGTTTATGTTCATTTCTGTGGTTTTCATTCTAAGGTTGGAAAAATGAAACCAATAGGCAGATAATGCAAACAGATGGGGAGGCACTAAATCTTACAAGAGGACGGAGGAGAGGACAGATTGTAAATGTAATGAGTACTGAATGTGTGACCTCACTCATCTCATTGGCCCTATGCTGCAAGAGAGTGATGTTGCAAAGTTATATCTAGATCTGGGCCAGCTCTGCTCTTTGAATATTGTGTTTATTTGCGCAGGGGCCATGCTAATCTTCTCTGTATCGTTCCAATTTTAGTATATGTGCTGCCGAAGCGAGCACAAATATTGTGTTTATTTGAATTATATGCCCTAAGCTTAACAAATGTAACACTGATTCATAGGTAAATGATGCTGTTTGAAAACTAAAGTTTTTTTTTAATGTTACAGTCCCTCCTTAGAATGCATAATTATGCACCATCAGAAGTGTGCATGAAGATGTATTCCCTAAATTAACTAGATTTTTTTTAAAGTACTTTTTTTTTAGGGAAAAGATATTCATATGTGCATTAAAACACTTAGCATTAAATGTGAATAATTATCTTAACTTTTCAGTGATTGTGATGTAGAAATTTGAACTTTTAAATATGAAAAAAAGTACACGTTGATTTTGAAGTTAATATGATGTTTAAAAATGCTGTGATCAAATTTATTATCTTTGAAAAATAACTCATACCAAAAATTATACTTGGAGAGCTTTGCCTCCACCCAGTGGCACAACAGTGATACTTCACTCTGCTTAGTTACAAAAGCATAATTTCTAGACCTGATAAATAAGAAACTCCTGGCAGTAGGATGAGGGTCTAAGGTAGGATAAAGTCTCATAATTATACACCCTCCTGAGCAGTTTTAAATTTGTACTCTGGGTATGTAAGCTGTATAAGTGTGAAATAATGACAAGGAAACATTCCTGTGGCATGTTAAGAACAAAGTAAGGTTGTAAAACTATACATACATAGCATAATATTGTCTGTGTTTAATTATTTGTAAGGAAAAAAGACAGAGAAGATACTATCAAAGGTTAGCCCTGTGTGGGTAGGAGCAGATGATTGTTTGTTTCCTGTTGGTACTTTTATAGTACTGCTAAACATTCACAGTGGGAATGCAGTAGCAATTTATTTAACATTTGTTATTATAAAGCCTTTCAGATATTCCTAAAAACAATATGCTCACCTACTACAAAGGTAAACAGATATTAACATTTTGCTTTACTCATCTCTTTATCAAAATAAACCATTACAGCTACAGCTAAACCAGATCGCCTCCCTTTCCCACTCTTCTAAAGTTGTTTACATTCTAAAGCCTATTGTACTTTTATTACATGCAGGTATATCCATAAACAATAGATACAATTGTTACTTATTTTAAAATTTACATAAATGTTATCAAACTGTATATATTGGTATAGTTTTTAACTCTTTTTGCTCAAAACTTTTATAAATTTTCCATGTTTACATATAGATTAGTTAAATTTACTGTAACTGTTGAATATAGGTTAACCACAGTGTATTTATTTATTTATTGTAATAATAAACCACAGTTTATTCCTTTTTCTACTGAGATAGGTTCTTTCTTCCCTTTCCCCCCACTTATAAAATACTACCACAATGAGCATCTTTATCTTCATCTCCATGTCATAGCTCTGAGAGCTTCTCTGGGTGAACACCTAGAAATGGATTGCTGAGTTGTGGTGAAGACACCGCTTACTAGTCATTGCCAAGTTGCTCTCAAAGTGGTTCTATCAGTTTGCACAACCACTATATATGAGAGCCTATCTTCTTATATCCTTACAATATTTGGAATGGTATGATTTGGTTTATAACTCGAATGGATGTTATATGATACCTTACTGTTATTAAAAAATTTTATTTCCTTGATGACTATTGAGATCGAGTACCATATCATTTATTGACATTTGTTCAGATTCCTTCCTATCTGAGTTCTTTGTTCCTGCTATGGAATTTTCTCCAGGATTTCTTACTGATCTGGAAGAATTTTTTTAAATGTTGCCTGGTTATTTGAGGATTGAAGACATCTTCTCCTAGGATTTGCCTTTGCTTTTTTATTGTGCTATGTTATTTATTTTCTTTTTTAATCAGAGGAGTTTAAAAAATATTTTAAAGACAAATTTATGATTTTTGCTTTTTATGTTTTTTTCAGAAGGTGGTAGTTTTGTTAGCTGTCCTAAAAGTTTTTAAGTTTTGCTTTAATCCCTTAGTCTTTTAATCTACCTAGAAGTTATTTTTGTTCATATTGTGAACAAAATACATCATTGTATAGATAAACAGTTGTCCCAGCCTCATTTCTCCTCTGTCTGCTGATTTTTGATACCACTTCTCTCCATAGACACATAAATGCTTCTAGGTTCTCTGTTTTCTTTCATTGGTCCCATTCTGCCTTAGTTGCTACTTATCTACACTAATAAAAGAGAAACATGGTAATTAGCGTACGACCGCTACCCTTCCCACTGGCTAATCAGCATATCCTTATGCAAATTAACTGTCAGCCAAGATGGCGGCTGGCAGCCATGCACTGAAGCGAACAGGGTTGCTTGCTTGCGCCAGTGACTGCGGACTCCAGCGTTCCCCGCCTGACTTGCCGGCCTCTCAGCTGCATCTCTAAGCAACTATGTAACAAATATAGAAGCTAAACAAAACCCCAGAAACCGGCTTTATTCAGCTGGGCTTCAGCCAGCCGGACCGCAACATTGTATCAATGTTTTCAGCAGCGAGGCCTCAGAGCTGAAGCTGGCCCAGAAATTAAAAAAAAAAAAAGAAAAAAGGAGCGGTTGGGAGCTTCAGTCACCCGCCAACCAGAAATGGCCTCAGCCCTCAGCCA